CCAAAAATTCGGGGGTTTTCCCCGCGTCGCTACAAGCATCACTGAGGACGACAAACTCAGGGACATCAGGCTCGGCCTAACAGACAAGAGAAAGCCCAGACCCGATGTTATCCTACTACAAGAAACCCACCTATCCAATCTCGCACACCACACGAGAATCAAACGGACAGTGGAAAAAAGCTTGGGTGGCTGTCCATTCAAACTCTGGTCCAACAAAGAGGACCAAAGCAACCGAGGCACAACGATCCTTATACCGGCCACATCCAAGATCTGGTTGGAAGGACAGGTAATCCGCAGCGAAGGTGACACAGACAAAGGACGATGGTCATGGATCCAAATCACTTGGCAAAGGGAAAAACTCAGGATCCTGAACCTGTATGCCCCGAATGCAGAAAACGAACGCCTAGTGTTCTTCGAGCGCATCAAATCACTCCTCCCGAACCCCCTACCGATGATCATAGCAGGCGATTGGAACACGACACTCGACCCCAACCTAGACCGCATATCCCGATCAGTCCTGCTAGGCCCCACACGAGCGAGCACACACATCCGGAATATCATGACAGAGTTCGATCTGATCGACCCCTTTCGCACCCTCCACCCTCGAAAGAAAGCCTTCTCCCTAGTCAAAAGGAACCGATCCAACCACACGTCACTATCACGGATTGACTTCTTCTTAATCTCCGACACGTTGTAGGGAACAATCAAGGAGGCCGATATCCTCCAGGCAGCAGCCTTCAAGGGACTCGACCACAAACCGACATACCTGCTGCTAAATTTCAACGCCCCGGTCGAGAAAGGCCAGGGTTCCTTTAAAATGAATAACTCCCTTCTCTCCACAGACCGCATGACCGAGGCAGGCAGATGGAATAGGGTGTTCTTACAGCAAGACGAGGCGAAACACTCGAACAGACACAAGTGGTTTATAGACAGATATATAGATCTATCCCAAACGGTATCAGCAGAGTCCAGAACCATAGCAGCAGAACGCAGATTAAGGAAGGATGAACTGCAGATCGCTCTCGAAATTGCAGAGGCCAACCTCGTATCCAACCCTTCCGACCCCTTCTACCACAACTTACTCCAATCGACCAAAGATGAATTGAATGAGTGGAGAAGATGGGAACTTAGAGGCCTACAAATTCGCGCCCGAATGACCGACTACAACCTCAACGAATCCATGTCTAAATTATTCTTCTCCAAAATCAAGGCCAATGCCAGGAACAACATGATAGAGAGGCTGAAGGACCCTACAGATGAGGGGAAGACAAAGTCAACCGGCACATACATGGTAAGGATCGCCAGATCATTCTATGCTGATCTTATGAGGCCAAGACCCCATCCCCCCCCCCAACAGCAAATATCAACGCTTGCCAGCACATGTTGAAGCACCTAGATAGAACAATCATGCAGGAAAATACAGAGGATTTGGACAAACCAATCACCTTAGAAGAACTCCACGCAGCCCTATCCCAGATGGGAAGCGACAAGGCACCAGGTATCGATGGGCAGTCCAAAGAATTTTGGTCCCAGTTTTGGCCGATACTGGGCAACGACCTCTTGAATTTCATAAACGACAGCAGGGAGAAGGGAGGCCTGGGCCAGTTCCTGAGCACCATCGTAATCTCTTTGATCTACAAGAAGGGAGACAAGGAAGATCTAAAGAACTACAGGCCAATCTCACTCCTCACAACGCCCTACAAGGTGCTCGCTAAGGCACTAGCCAACAGAATCATAAAACTAACGGACAAATGCTTCCATATCGACCAAGCAGGCTGCATCCCAGGCCGATATATTCTTGATAATGTGATGACCCTGAACGAGGCTGCAAAGAAGATTACAGAAAAAAGGATGCAGGCGGCGATCCTATTCTTCGACTTTGAAAAGGCCTACGATCAAGTCAACTAGGACTTCCTCCACGAGTGCATGGAGAAGATGGGAGTCGGCCCAAATTTCAGAGAGTGGGTAAGAGTACTATATGGCGACGCCACAGGCAGAGTGCAGATAAACAGAATACTATCAGACACCTACCCGATATCGAGATCGGTCCGACAAGGCGACCCCCTTGCACCACCAATATTCCTATTCATAATGGAAGTGATCGCCTCCTTTCTGCGCAAGGACCCATCCATAGACCGCCTGGCCGAACAAAACTACAATCCCCTTCACGACTTCGCTCTCCCCACAACACTGATGTTCGCAGACGACCTCACGGTCCTCATCCGCACCAACAAGGCCTCCTTTCAAACCCTTGCCCGCGCTATGGAAGCCTTCAGACTGGCCTCAGAAATGAAGGTGAACTGGGAGAAAACCGAAGGTTGGTGGCTTGCAGAAGGCACCCCCCCCCAACCCCTAGACTCTTCCACCCCAATGTCATGGTCCACAGGAGACCAAGCTCTTTGGTACCTGGGTATTATGGTAAACAGAGATAGCATTTGGCAAGGGATGGGGGAGACCTTGATTGCCAGAGCTATAACTCGTCTAGCCCCCTATAGGAAAGCCCAGGCCTCCCTGCTAGGGAGAGCGCTGATCATCAACGCGGCCGTGTTTTCAACCCTGTGGTACATGGCCTCCATATGGTCCCCGCCCGATGACGATCTGAAAAATCTGAAAGCGAGAGCCAGATGCTACTTGTGGACCGGAGACCCCAGCAGAACCACATGCCTAAATAAAGTAGCATGGCAAGTCGTCATCAGGAAACCACACGAAGGAGGACTAGGCATCATCGATCCGAAACAGGAAGCGATCGCCCTCCAGATGAAATGGGTTATCAAAATCCTAACAAAGCAGGCCCTCCCGTGGACCAAGATGGCGCTCGACAGCATAAGGAACCTGGCACCGGTAGCTTCCCCACAGAACATGAGGGGCTTATTCTGGATCATGGCAAAGGAATGGGCAATCAATCAGGGAGGTCAACAAGGAGAACTCACCCCACAACACCCTTTCATCCCTCCACCACAACCAACCCCTACTGGTCACCAATCCTGAAAGCCTGGCGCCGACTGATACCAGAAAAGAAAGGCGCTCCGCGCAACAAAGAGGAAGTCCTAAGACAGCCCCTGTTCTGCAATCCTTGGATAAAAGACACAGAGGGGGAACCCTGGACCCTCCGCCCCAAAGACCGCAGATGGCTCTCATGGGTAGAACGAGGGGTATGGCAGATCAAACATCTGTGGTCCGAAGRCCGACAAGAGTGGCTCAACGAACAGAACCTGCGCACCACCCTAAAGGGTTGTCACTCGCTGTCCAGCAACCTATCGGAAATTCTCCACAGCATCCCCCCCTCATGGACGACCCTCCTAAAAGAGACACACACGTGGAAACCAGGCGACTGGGGATTACTCACCACACAGTTCCCGCCAACAAGAGCCTACCGGTTCATGTCCAAACCGCACCCAACTAACTACCAGGCCAACTTCATTTCCTACCCCATCGCCAGACACAACCTATACAAAATAGAGGCCCTAAACAAAGCGCCACAGCGTGAACAAATTGAAACCTTCTTGCTAAGGAAGGTAAGAGTCTCCCACAGGATACCCTGGCTCGTATTCCAGCCGGAACTGAGCATCGAGAACCTAGAATTCGACCCAAAGGAGTGGGTATGGGACCTGGGCACCGATGGGAAACCAAGGGCGATAACGGAATACGACGTAAAGTTTGGCTATAACCTCGGTCTAAAAACCACTGACCCAAACCCGAGGCTGGCGGAGAGGTGGAGAACCATCCTTCACCTTGACCCTGCGACCCCTATCACCATCCCTTGGACCAAGTACCTTAGCATCCGCCCAAACCGCATACGCAGCATGCAATGGCTGATAGCACATACAACCCTTCCCGTCAACCAATGGCTACATGCAAGAAGGAAGCATTCCGACCCG